GCATGCACAAGACCCTGGATGCAATCTCTAGCACCAGCAAAAAAAGTTCTTTGCAAAGGTCCCAGGAGCTGGAGATGGGGAACAGTAATACAGCATGAGCACCATACCCTAAGTTCAACCCCCAGCACCAAAAAAAAAAAAAAAGCCCCAATTATGTCCCTTCACACTCAGGCCCAAATGAAAGAAGCATTTGCTGGGGAAACCCGAGGGACTAAGAGGCCATTAGAGGTGATGAGGACCTGGCTGGTGGAGAAGAGAAGGAATCCAGGTAGGGGATGTGAGACTGCTAAACAGGATGCTCCCCAATATTCTTTTGCTAGGTTGAGACTCCTTGCAGGAACTTCAAAAGGGCCTGCATCTGCAGGTGGGAAGGAGCTGAGGGCAGACACAGTGCAGAGGTGTGAAAAAAACATGCCCTTATGAGCCATATCCACCCACTCAGAAACCCTTCCAGCAGCTGTGGGCAGGAAAAAGGAAGGGGACAAATGTCCTCACCACACCAACAGTTCATGTGTCTGATGGTGTGTGGCAGGCATCACAATGGGCCGTAGAGCTCTGCTAAGCAGCATGGTCCAACTTGTCCCAGGGAAAGAGACTGCTGGGTGGAGGGTGCCCCTGTCACCTAAGACTGTCTCAAGAGGGCAGCTGTATGGGTTTGTGTGTATACACGGCGGCACCACGTGGTCTGGCAGGGTGTCACGGGGAGAAGGACATGTCCCACGTGGAGGATGAAATGCACAGGACTCTCTGGGCTGAGGATGCCTGTAGGAGCTGTTACTTTTTGCCACAGCAGAGAACTATGGGCCATTTTCAGAAAAATCATTATAGGTCATGGAAACAGATTCTATAAGCATGTCCTTGTCGAGGCTCACTGTTTTCTAAGGTGTCCCTGCAGCTGTTAACGGTTCCTACTTGATTAAACTTTCCAACAGCCCAGTCCCCTCCCCTGAGCACCCTGGCAGGGTCCCCACTCATACAGACGGCTGTGTGTGCTGGTGACTCCCTGGGGACCTCAGGGCTCGTGGGTGTGAGTGTACAGAGCAGCTGGTGGCAGGGCTGAGTGAGGGCAGTCGGGCATTGCTGCTGAGGTGTGTGGGGTGGATAGGGCAGTGTATCAGTACATGCAGGATGTTTGCAGAGCTGCCATAAACTGTAAGCAATGACCCAGTTTTTAGAACCAATCGACAGGTGTACATGACCTGAATACCAGGTAAAGTGCCAGAGCCTCCCACGTGTACGCAAAAGCAGGACCAGTGGGCATGAAGCCAGTGTGACCCTGGAGAGGCTTGAGAAGGAGGCGCCCAAGCAGCACAGGGGTGAGCTAGACCGGGCACCCACTTGGTCCTGGGCATTTTTGCTGCTCTTGGTCTGTGCTTCTCTGCTCTTCCTTTGGTGATAGCAGCCTATCTCTCCATGACCTTCTGCCTGCCCGCCCATCTCGCAGGCCACCTGTAATCCTCTTGTGTGAACAGAGTAAGGGCAGGGGTCCCTGCCCTTCCTTCCCCTGCTGTGTCACATAGGTCTTTGCAATGCTGACATCCACATTACACCTCAAGGCTGGACATCAGAAAGGACACCTATGAATCCAAGCTGCCCCAGTATTGCCCAAGTGCCAGGAATACTCTGGGGCTTTTCAGAGATGCAGGGCCAGTGCTGGACTGATTAAACTTTCCAACAGCCCGATCCCCTCCCCTAAGCATCTTGGCAGGGTCCCCTCCATACAGATGGCTCTGTGTGCTGGTGACTCCCTGGGGACCTCAGGGGTCCATGGGTGGGAAGTATAGAGCAGCTGGTGGCAGGACTGAGTGGGAGCAGTCAGGGCATTTCCATTTTTCCAAGTCTATAATCACATCTAAGATGCAAGAGGACAAGCATCAAAGCCCACTTCTTGCTGGACTGGTGGCACAGGCAATCCCAACACTTGGGAGGCTAAGACAGAAGAATTGTTGGGAGCTCGAGACTAGCTTGGGCTACAAAGTGAGCTCAAGACCAGCCTGAGCTGAGGCCCTCTCTCAAAAAAATGAGACCCTGTCTCAAAAAGACAAAAACTAAAATAAATAAATTCAAATATTGCAGAAGGGCAAAATGATGCCTCCCCACACAAGAAAGTGTCTTTAAGATAAGGGCTAATGTGGTGTTTTAGTGACTTTCTTGTCTGTGGGATAAAATACTCAAGACCTACAACTAAAGGAAAGAGATTCATTTTGGCTCATGTTTTAGAAGACTTGGTCCTTGCACAGTCAATAGCATGGCTGAAGGGCCTGGGCAGGGGACAGCTGCTTGTGTCATGGGTGGATGGAGGATGCACCCTTCCAGGCCACACCCCATGACCCCCCTCTTCTGCCCAGCCCCCACATCCTGTCAATAAATTTAGAGAGAACATACCCATAATCCAATCAATTTTCAAAAGCCCTTCCTTTGAGCTTATGAGGCTTTGGGGAGGTCTCCAGATATGAACCATAATGGACAAGGTGTGATGCTACACAAGTGTCATATGAGCTATCCAGGAGGCTGAGGCAAAAGGATCACAAAGCAGAGACCAGCCTGGGCAGTTAAACAAGACCCTGTCTCAAAATAAAAAAATATATATTTTTTAAGTATTTAGTACAGGGTCTACAGGTTCTCATTACACAGATCAGACTCATAATGATCCTCCTGTTTTCAGCCTCCCAAGTGCTGGGATTACAGGCGCAGGCCAGCACACCCAGTCTCAATCTCATCTCAGCTGCCCTGGGGGCGGGGCCAGAACCATACAGCAGGAGATTAAACCCCTGGCCTCTGCATCTGCCTAAACAGGCACTTTAATCTACTGAGCTATCTGGCCGCCCCCCCCCCAAAAAAAATCCTTCTATCTGAGTTTAGAGACTCACTCCTGTCCCCCAACA